ACTTCAAAGCCAAACAGGACCACATTTTTAACACTTAGTCACATTTTGAAGCTTATTCACAATTCCCAGACCACGTTTTTACTTAGTTAGATTCCAAAGATGTTCTCATGTATTTCATTTACTAATCAGACTATCTCCCACCCCATCCAGTTTGTTTCTCCAATCTCTTCCCTACAAGTTTATAATCAACCGTTTAGTTACAATTTGCAACCTACTTTTCTGTCCTCACTCATGGATTCTTCATTTGTACTTATTAAACTGGAAGTACTAAACCCATTCGAATATTATGTTCTACAATTTCACAATCCAATTTTTCAATCAACCACTATCATCCTTTCAATTTTCATACAAATCCAATCTCACTCTGCAGGGAGGCACTTTTAACTTAACTTTGCACAAAATTTTTATTCCACAATTTTTATGACCAGTTTTTTTGACAAGATTTCATTCATTTTAGACAATACAAGCCAACACAATCAACTGACAACATAAACGAAATTTTATTCATTTACAATGTGTACACATGTTCATTACAAAAAAAAAAAAAAAAAAAACACAGAGAGGGGGCTCTTCATCTCATTTGGTTATTCCTCCTCGCTGGATACAAGCTCTTCTTCTTCAATGCCCTCGTCCAGGGGGGTCTGGGCTACATCATCTTCACCAATCATTACACTACTCAGGTCCAAGTCTGGGAACAGCTCTTCAGCTCTGCGTTTGAACATTTTCCAACCGCTGTCCCAGAACTCAGCCATTTCGTGCTTGTAGAAGTCTGACTGCTGGAAGCTCTCAATAACTTCTACCTCTGTCCTACCTCCAGCAGTCGTCCTTGATGGGCTCACCTCCCCAGATTCTTGCCCAGCCAGATTCCTGGCGACTGCGGCATCTACCGCCATCTGAAATTCGGGAGACCCTTTGTATTGCTCCACTGCTGCAACGCACAAATCAGGGTAGGCCGCCCTCTCAGAAGTCGTCTTTGCCCTCTCTTCGTCCAGCTCTCTCTGCAGGGCCCCCCTTTCAGCAGCCGCCGTCGCCCTTTCCTCTTCCATTTCCTTCCTCCGACTCTCCATCTCCGCCATCGCCTTCGCCTTCTCTGTTTCCCACTCCCTCACGAGCCTCCCCTTCTCCTCCTCTGCTTTGACGCGCCCATCCTCCAACTCCTTCAACAGATCTCCAATTCTGGCATATGCCTCATCTTTTTGCCTGACCAGCTCTTCATTGCTGCTCATGGCCTCTTCATGCCGCTCGATCGCAACGGCGCAGGCTCTTTCAGACTCCTCCAACTTTTTCTGTTCGCCAGCCAGTTGGAACTCAAGCGACACAACCTTACGGCGTGTGTCCTCCAGCTCCAACTTGACTGCTTGCAGCTCAGCATGGGCAGTCTTCCAGTCGACACTCTCCTTCTTCAACTTGGCCAACTGGGCCTTGGCCTCTTCAGCCTTTAGCTTGACGGCCCCTACTTTCCTTAGAAGGGCCCCTGCCAAGGTGGTCACCTCCATTTGGGCGGAGCATAACCCCCTCAGCAGGTCAGCCTCATTGAATCCCGATGCCGAGCGTAGGGCTGTCTCCTCCACAATCTTCACCAGGCGGTCTGCCCCCGCCCTGGCTGGGCCTTCTTCTCCCTCCAACCTTCCAGCTACCGCGCAAGCGTGATAGATTGCCGTGGCCAGACGGACCCCTCATTCCTGGGGGGCAGGGCCCTTTTGGGTCTGCTCCCTCCTGCTCAGCGCAACCTCAATCAACCCAACTCCTACTTGCACTGTTGGGGCAGTCTCCACAACCTCCAGTGTTGGGGTGACCTCCACTACCTCTGGGGTCTCCTTGGCCGTAGGGACCTCCACCTCAGCTGGGGCCACCTTAGCCCTCTTGGCCCCAGGCTCATCTGCAGATCCCTCTGGGGCACTCCCCTTCTTCTTCTTCTTCAGAGTCTCCCCCTCCTTTCTGGCCTGTTCTTTTACAGGATCTACTGGGGGCGGTCGTGGCTCAAAACTGCTTAAGTCCTTCCCCCCCAGCGGCCTTAGGCGCGGTCGGATCCTCTCCCGCGCGATCGGTTGAGGCGGTCGGTCTCCTCGCGTTTCCTTCAACTTCGTGGCCTTGGCAAGTATGGCCTGATCCTCCGCCTCCTAAACTTCTCTTCTCGCTTCCAATTCTTCTCGGTCGAGGTCCCCACCCCTCGGCTGCGGTCCCAACCCTGCCTCAAACAATGCGGACGGTTGGACCAGCTCGTCCCATTTGGCCTTCTCTCTCTCCCTCCACTCCTTCACCCTCTTCACCCTCTCTTCCGCCACTGCCCCTAGTCTTGACTCCATCGACCTAATGGGCACCTTCCAGATGGTGCGCACTCCCAATCCCCCATTGGCAGACACGTAGAACCACCGTGGCCGCCACCCCTTGATCGATGTCGGTAGCCCCGCCACCAATCCCCTCCCCATCACTGCTTGAAGAATGACCCACGTCTCTTGCTGCCCCGAAGCCTTATAACAGGAAAAGAACTCGTCTACCGCCATGGCTTCCCCTCCATTTGCCTTGGGCCACGCGCTAGCACAGGCCAGCAGAATCTTCCTTGCATTGGGCATCAATTGCCCCGACGCTACCTCCAGACGGTTCAGTACGTCAACCACCACTTGGGGCAGTGGCAACCTCAACCCACCTTTTAGCGCCTCCTCGTAAAGGGAAAACTCCCCTGGCCTGGCATCAGACGGCCTTTCCCTTGGTGTTGGCAGCAATAACTCCACCTCAGCCGGAATCTGGTATTTTTCCCTGATAGCTTCCAAATCCACCGCAGTAATTGTAGATTTGTCAGCCTTAGTGTGCCACTGATCCGGTTCTACCTGGCTTATTGGCCTTGGAGCCAATATTAGGGCCGACGCCCGCGCTTGTCCCATCGATTCCCCTACCCCCACCATTCGTGTCTCCGTCCTATATCGCGCTGCTAGCTCCTCTGCATCATCGTCTCCCAGAGAGTCCACCCTCACATTCACCACTTTTTCTTGTGCCATTTCTAGGGTTTGCTTACAAATCACTTCTGACGCAGGAGCAAGGAAGTTGAGAAAATGTTACACAGGTGTGTTGTGCGCAATGAAGGAATTAACACTTGGGTATTTTGAGTTTTTGTAAAAAGGTAGGTGAAACGAATTATACCTAAAACCCATGGTTTACCCATATTCCATGGATCTACATTAATTTTCGCCCGTTTAAAACCTTTCAAATCAACCGCCAAAACCGCCTTTTCAAAACCCCCCCGTGACCTATCGTTTCATTTTTGCTCCAACGCTTCACTTCCCCCACGATATTGCCACGTGTATGGCCACGATGCACTGTCCCCTCCCCTTACCCTATGGTCGACCCCTCCCGCTCGGCCACCCTAATGGTCGACCCTTCCCGCTCGGCCACCGTTACGGTCGGCACGCCTAATGGTCGACCCCTCCCGCTCGGCCACCGCTGCGGTCGGCACGCCTAATGGTCGACCCCTCCCGCTTGGCCACTCTCACGGTCAGCTCCCCCCGCTCGGCCACCCTTGTGGTCGGCACGCCTAACGGTCGACCCCTCCCGCTCGGCCACCCTTGCGGTCGGCACGCCTCGTGATTGGCACGCCTAACGGTCGGCCTCTCCACTCGGTTTGCACTTCTCTTCCTTATTACTATTCCCTTCGTTGGACTAAAGCTGCACTCGGAAATGGGGGACTACTGACATGGATAGGCCCATAAGGCTTACAGCCCATAGCAAACAACCCCAAACCCATCGCTTGGGACCCACAGCATAACTCGGTTGGCAAAGCCCAAGACAGCTGAAGGCCATCTGGACATGGAGGGCCAATGACATTCGGGCACATGGCAGGTGAAACACAGGCCACATCAGCAGACAAAGATCTGCAGAGTTATTGCCATAACACATCACCATTAATGCAGCCCATCACAACATTTATTACGACAACACCTCCCCGTTGGAACAGAGCCTCCTCACCCTGAACAAGGTAAGCTACGGCACAGGCTTTCGGCGGAATGGGGGCACGTCGCAAGGGACAGTGAAATGATTACCAAAGGATATAAGCAAGAATCAAAGACAAGAGGAAGGTTATGCTTTTCTATCTCTCTCTCTCTCTATACTTTTCTCTCTTCTACTACTGATTTGCTCGCCGGAGGGTTCATTGGGGGACTACCCCGTTCCCCTTTGGACTTACTTGCAGGTCATCTGGTGGAACCATCCGCCTGGATCGGAACTTGAGGAGCTTGGACCAGCCCGACCCATTCACCTAGGACGAATTGCAACATCATTATCTTTTTCATTTTGTTCTTACATAACAACCTGCCATTCAAATCAAGAGGGGCGAATTGGTCATTTTGTACACAAATATCACTCTCTTCCCCCCTCCCCCCAATTGTATGACCTTCACGGGTGGGTGAGATTCAAAGTATAATAATGCACCAACAAAAAGAAACGATTTTTTTATTAAATTAATAAAATGTAATAAATGAAAAAATATTGATAATGTTTGATAACGTTTACGTTTTTTGGTTTGTATTTAAAAATATTAAACACACGAATTTTTTGTTAATTTTTATCAATATGTATTCTCCAAAGTTGTTGACTTCAACAAAATTTTTGACAAAAATTAAAAACGTATTGTACAAAATGTTTGTACAGGCCAAAAAAATGAATTCACAGAAAAATTAATTGACACAAAATAATTGGCATAGAAGTTATTTAAAAAAAAATTATTTGAAAAAAAAAAGTTATTCAAAAAAATTACTTACAAACAATTAATTGAAAAAAAATATTTTTTTATTTTAGTATTTTAAAAATAGTTTGGTTATGACTATTGATCAAAAATACGGATATCGATATTTGAGTTGTGTATTTGATTATCAATTATAGGTTGAATTAAGTTTTGAAAACTATTTTGAAAACTCACAACCAAACAAATTTTCTTGTTTCACATGTCACATCAAACTTTCAAAACTCAATTCCACATACAATTCAAAACACAATTCAACACTCTATTCAAAAACTAAACCAAACAAATTTTTACACTCAAATCATAATTCCACAATTCACAAACTCAAAATACAACTCATACTCTCAAATCTTATTTACAAAACTCTACCAAACGTAACCTAAAATATTACTAAACTCTCTTAACATAAAACTAACATTACTACATGCTTGAACTTAATTGAGTAACTCTCAAATTATTAAAAACAAGTTTACTATTTTCAATAGTATTGTGGAGACTGGAGTTTTTGGACATGAAGTCTATGAAAATTTGCATGACACCCTTGGCCTCTTCTGTGGAGGACTTGGTTGTGAAGAAACCATGTTCCTTTCCTTCAAACTCAACATAATTGATCTTCTTTCCAAACTCTTTCAGCCTCCTAGCATAGTCCTCCACTCTATCTCTCAAAATTTCACCACCACCTACAACCACCAAGATAGGATCAAGGGCTGTGTCTTTGAGGCTCAAGGAGTTTGAAGGTCCAAATGGGTTTGACAATGGGTGGTCTTTAGTAGCTCCTTCTGGTAGTGATAGCCTCCAAAACCTGTAATTGTAAAAAATAATAATAATAACAATAATAATAATAATAATAATAATAATAATAAATGGAACTTTGATGTTAACACTAAAAAGGTTTTGTCTTGATAGAAAAATTATTAGATACTACTCATATGTAGTATTAGTGACATGATGTCCTTACCTAATGAAAAGGTGCAACCAATACTCTAAAAAGATATGTATATTGTAGAATGACTTATATATATATATATATATATATGGTAACGGCTTGACTTGGGCTATTTATGTCTCGAATTTTTTTTTTTCCTATTCCCAAATGACCCCATATAACTAATCACTAATCACTAATCACTAATCACTATATTACTCTATTCCCAAATGACCCCATATAACTAATCACTAATCACTAATCACTAATCACTATATTACTCACAAGAGCAGTTATGAACAAATATATACAGAGAGACTCACAAAGATTAACATACAAAGAGAGATTCTCAAATTACACCATATAACTACCTCTGTATAATTACTTATACCCACAAGAATAATTATAGACAAATATATAAAGAGACTTACAAGAATTAACATACAAAGAGAGATTCACAATTATTTCATAACACAATTATCATCTTTTCAATTACATGTGTATATGGTGATCCTAAATTATTGCTATCAAAAAAACATGGATAAATTATGTAAATGGTCCTTGTAGTTTACACGATGTGTTAGTTTGGTTTTTATAATTTTAATTTGCTCGATTTTGTTCCTTAATTTAACGGATTGTGTTATATTAGTCTAATAAATAATGGCTCTTAGGTTTGGTAGACGGAAACTCAAATGATATGTCAATTTAGTCCATGTAGTTTACACGATGTGTCAATTGAATTTCCGTCCACCAAACCTAACGGTCGTTATTTATTAGGCCAATATGACACAATCCGTTAAATTAAGAGACAAAATCGAACAAATTAAAATAATAGAGACCAAATTAACACATTGTATAAATTATAGGAAATATTTAAATAATTTACCCAAAAAAACATTATCAACCAGTCCATTAGTACATATTTCTTTGTTGCATTTCTTATTCTTTCACAAAACCTCAACCATATGAATGAGTACATGATGTGGGCTGTAGCAAAAGTGGGCATTTTGACTTGCATATATATATATATACATACACACTAGTGATACATACAAATATGATGCATTTGTAGTAGGACAAATTATGCTCATAGTTCATGTATTTTGGCTTTTATAATTTTAATTAGTTCGATTTGATCTTGAGTTTATGATTTTATTTCAATTTAACTCAGTTACTTACAATTGGTAGAATTTTTTAATAAAAAAATATGCACATAAGTGACATATGTCATACTTTTTAAGGTAAAATTATAAATTTGTTCAACTCAGTAAATTAACTCCAACCAATTTAGTAATAATTTTTCATCAAAAATACTAACGACATTATCAATTAGACCAAATTGACATAAAATCTAAAATTAAGCATCAAAATTAAGTTGATTAAAAGTGTAAGGATTAAAATGACATAAGAAGTAACCAACTAAGGTAGTTTCTTAGAGCTTAGTCCCTACGGAGGTCATGAGGGAGTTGAATTAAAAAAGTGCAAACATTTAAGTGTTTTGCCAAGGGTAGGGAGGTTTCTCCCATAGATGCTAATCTAACAACTAACAATTAATATTTATCAATGAAAAAAATGATACAAGAGACAAAATATAAGAACTATCGGTGTAATTTGTCCTTTGTAATTTTATATTTATGTTTTTTGATAGTTTAATTTAATGATTGACAAGTAATTTGATAAAAAGTGTGCTATACAAAATCTCATTTCAATCTCAGGTAGCGTTTGGTTTTGTTTTGAAATAGTGAGTTCAATCAACAAATTTAAAAATTCTTTTTAAAACTTATAATAAAAAACACAACTCAAAACTCAATTCAAATTGTTTTTTTTTCAAAACTCATAACCAAACTATTTTCAAAACTCTATTTAAAAAAATATACATATATATACAAAAAAATAATTTTTTATTTGTTCTTTAAAATTATTTTTTATTTTATATATATATTTTTGAAAAATTATTTTTTTATTTTTGAAGAAAAATATATATATTTTTTTATTTTTGAAGAAAAAATATTTTGTTATTTTTTAAGTATTGACCAAATAATTTGTTATAATTCAGATATATATATGGGCGAGCCAATAAATTTTAAATCATGTTGTTCAGTGCTTTGAAAAGGTACTAGGGGCAATATTGTCCATCAAGATCCATTTTCATGATGTCAGCAATAATTCCTACCGTTTACTTCACAACGAGGGACAAATTGTTATGTGAATATAAACCTTAAGAGCAAAATGTAATTTCTGAAACCTGAGGCCATTAAAAAAAATAAATATCTACAATGAAAAATATTTACCCTAAAAAATAAAATTAAGAAAATTTTTAAATATACAAAAAAAAAAAACCCAAAAATTTCAAAATACAACTCAAAACTATAAAACTCAAAATACAACACAAAACTCTTTTCAAAACTCATAACTAAATAATTTTTTTTTTTTCAAAACTCATTTCAAAACCTCAAAACTCAAAATACAAATGAAAACTTAAATTGTGATTCAAAAACTAAACCAAGCAGACACAAAGTAATGGGTCTCACATCAATAAATGCATGTGAGACCCATTTACTTGTATTTTGGAGTAAAAAAATAAGGTAAGAAATTTAGGGCTAAAAAATTTCTAGTTGAGCCGAGTAATAAGTTGTTTAAAATTGGTTTGATAACTTAACGAATTTAAAATTATATTAAAGTTTGATTTGTTTACAAATGAGTCAATTTTGAATGAGTTTTTAAAGATTTGAACACAAGTTGAGCTCGAGTAGTTTTAACTTTTTATAATGTATATAAACTTATTGAGCCGACTAGTAAGTGTTCAAGTTTGACTTGAAAACTTAACGAGTTTAAAGTTGTGCTCAAATTATTTGACTTGTTTACATAACGATTCGATTTCGAACGGGTTTTTAACAAATCAAACATAAGTCAAGTTTGAATAGTTTGATTCATTTAGCACTCCTACTTTAAGAAATAAGATTACATGTAGAATTTTCCTTTCATAAAAGAGAGAAATTATTTATCAATTTTAAATAGTTTAATACATGAGAAAAACCGTTGAGCACAACAATTATAAGATACAAAAATATTAGAGATCTCAAATAAATTATCAAATAGTATATCAAATATTCATATGGGTGTAAGTATTAAATATTTTACGATACAAAAGTAATAAAGACTTCAAACAAATTATAAAATATTTTATACATCCGTAGTTACATATACATTTATATCTTTCGTTATGACATATTATGAAGTTGATTATGATTTTTTTTTTTTAATTATGATCGAAGATTTCTTTGTTAGGTGTGTTTGGTTGTAACTAATTTTTTTAGTTATAATTCTAATAATATTGAATTATATAATTTGTAATAATTTGACTCACAAATAATTTAAATAAAAAATGTTTGAGACTCAAATTTTATGACTTCCATAACCCCCAATTGATTAGTAACTGCCTATTATGATTTTTTTTATTTTTTTATTTTTTTCTCCCCCTCCTCCCTCTCTCTCACAAATGTGTGAGGGTCCGGGGTCTGCAGCTGGACTGTAACATAAATAGCATATAGCATTATCCAAGCGCAAAATCTAGTGACATACCTATCATACATGTCCAAATTCCAAAATTCTTCACATGGCCTCTGTTCCTCGGACTTGGTCGGGGCTGTCCCACCAAAAAAAGGCGACAACAGCACATAACCTCGTACTCGAAGCGGCTTCAACTCCTCCGAACCGGCTCCAATTCGAACCGCCAAATGATGAGCCACGTTACCACCAGACGAGTCACCCAATATGAAAACCTTATCAAACTCAACTTCATCACCACACATCCACTCATCTGGACTCTCACACACAGCTTGGTCTCTGACCCACGTTAGGGCACCATAGACGTCGTCAATGGCTGCCGGAAGCCTGTGCTCCGGTGCTAAGCGGTGGTCCGGTGACACCACGATGGCTCCAAGCCCGGAAGCGAGGCTGAAAGAACCATTTTTTTTTTTTAATCAGCAAAAAGAAAGCTTTCAGAACATCTCTAGGAATTCACTAATTTTTTTTTTTTTTTTTTTCAAATTTGAAATTTGGTGAATGAAGAGCTGATAGTAAGTTCCAATCATTTCACCAAATTAAGGATCACCAAATTAAGGATCACCAAATTAAAGTTTTCACCAAATTTTTGATATTTTTACTCAAATTTAATGAAATTTGAAAAAAAAAAAAAAGAAAAAAAGAAAGAAAGTAAAGATTGGGGATGATTTTGTTTCATAGTAAATGGTTAAAACATGATTTTAGGATAAATTTAGAATTTTCCAGAAAGATTTGGCAAAAAAAAATTAAATAACTATTGAAGTGTTCTATACTATACATCAAACTTATTCACTCAAAATTTGATGAAAACAAGAAAGTGTGAATTGGAGAAGTTCTTATGGATAAAAATCAAAAGCACAAGACCTACAACAAGATTATATCAATAAAAAGAAATAGAAAGCAATGAACAAGACCTGAGGCAGGTGTTGTGGAAGTTGGCGAAAGAGCGAGAGCCCAAGCAAAAGCCACCGGCATGAATGTAGAACACGATGGGAAGTTTTTTATTTGGGGAACATGATGACGATGACGATGGGTTTATAGTGGTGGTGGGTTTGAAGAGGCGGAGGTAGAGGTCGTGGTTTTTGTCGAAAAGACGGTCTTTCCATTCGACGGAGCCATCGTCGTTGATCAGAAATTGGTAATCTACGTTCGGTGATCGGACAATGGAACCATCGCTGTAGAGTTTCAGGACACCAAAGCAGTCTTCTACTACCTGTGGTGGGGTGGCCAATGAACCCATCTCTCTTTCTTTCTTTCTTTCTTTCTTTTTCTCAAGGACAATAAATTACTTTGCTAGGGCTATAAATAGAGCCCGCCGAGGGGAGGGTGGAAAAAGTATCACGAATTGAGATATGGAAAAGTATTAAAAAAAAAATTATGCTGTTTGGATTTAATTATTATAGGATCGGTTCACATTTAAAATGAATTTAGACATCTCTAACATATAAATGGATAAGATTGGATTTAATTATTATAGGATTGGTTCACATTTAAAATGAATTTGGACATCTCTAACATAGAAAAGGATAAGAGGATAAGATTAGATTTAATTATTATAGGATTGGTTCACATTTATTATAGGATCGGTTCACATTTAAAATGAATTTGGACATTTCTAACATATAAAAGGATAAGATTAGATAATAAAAAATAATAAAAAAAAGTGTTAGAGAAGATTTGGACTCTTCTGATATTACTTATGCAAAATGATTTACAAATATCTCAATTTCAATAACGGTAGGGTTTAAGAATTCGTACATTAAAAAAAAAAATACTAAGAAAAATAATGTGTGATTTAGATTCAAATATTTAACAATAAATTTGTACCATCCATTGTTTTTTTGTCTTTTGTTTTTATTTTTATTTTTTATATTCTTGTGTTTGTACCATCCATTGTTTTTTTGTCTTTTGTTTTTATTTTTATTTTTTATATTCTTGTGTTTGAGATCTTGGTCGCTAGAATTTCTAATTGAATTTTTATATGATAAATAAAAAAATAAAAACTTTATGTATACATAATTTGTTATCATAACGATTTGGTGATTGTATTTTTATGATTAAATATTATTAAATTGACACTTCCTTGTTGATATTATTTTTTCTTAATCATTTATTATGAATTACAAATTTCCATTTAATCCATATAATGGAGTGAATCTCAATCCATTCCCAAAAATAGTTACATAATTTTATGTATAGTTCATATTCAAATTAAAAATAATATCATATCTAAAATAAATTTAATTGACAATTTATTCTATGCACAATACATTAATTAATTAATGTAAAGCAAAGTAATTTAGACTAACATATTGGAATACATGTCCATGTGGTAAGTGCTTATCTTTATTTTATAGCCGCCATATGTCAGTAGAAGTAAAGCTTTGAACTTTACCTTGTCAAGTTTACATATTTTAATTGAAAGTTCTCTTAGAAATGACACACAAATATTTTGCTTGTGCTAGGCCCCCTTATCCTTGATTTTATGTAATAATTTATGGTAGAACTATTATCCTTTATTTTATGTGCAATTATTTATGTATCCTTTGATAATGATGTTAATTAGTATTTTGTTTTTGTAAAACACAAGAATAAAAAAATTAAAACTTGTTGGGTTTCTATAATTAGTAATCATGTTGGACAAAATTTTATTCAATTATATTTTTATTCGCTCTACTGTATTTGTGAATTATGAGAGTTTAGATACGAATTCAACTCAAGTTGTGCCGGATTAGAGGAGTTTATACTGGCATTTCGTACCTTATTGGAGCATTCCTTGTTTGTTATTTTGCTGAAGTCAAAGTTGATTAACCGCTTAAGTAGTTTTTGTGTGCTCAAGCGGTGAAATAGTTCATCTAGTATCTCTACTTCCATTTTGAACTTCTAGAAAATATGTTTTACCGCTCGAGCGGTAGATGTTGCGCTTGAGTGGTTGGCCTATATATGAGCACCGCCTTTAATCACACCACTTGAGCGATAAAATGAGTGCTTGAGCGGTCTTTGCAACTCTGTTTAGTATAAAGTGCGTTGCTTGCTATTTTTAGGATTTAATCGGTCCAGATTCTTAAAGATGAAGAGAAAACAAAATGTTCTATATTGAAGGGTGTTTACGTATTTTTTTTTATGGTTTGAGAGTGATCGGTTAATTAATGAGTTTTATATTGACAAACATCAAGAGTTATTTTTGTTCTTTCATTCGCATAAAAAGAGATGTTCATCAGTGGATTTCGGAGAATTTGGACTTTAGGTTTTGGTGGATTCTAGAGTAACTCATTGTCGTGGATTCGATATTGGCGTTGTGAATTTAACATTGGACAAAGCAATTCTAATGTGAAGACGGTGGTAAAAAAGGCACATCGAATTCTATTCAATTCGGGCTTGAATACGCTAGATAATTGAGAGTTCTTGTGTATAATTTTTTTTTTTTGTCTTCGTAGTGGATATTTTTGTGGTTTAGACCCGTGATTTTTAATCATAATTGGAGGTGCTCTAATTGTGATTTTTTCATTTAAATCGTTGTGTCAATTTATTATTGATTGTTTGATTGAGATTATTTTTCATTGTTTAAAATTGAATTATAATTATAAATCAATATCTCGAAATTTTTTAGATTTTTCAAAACTTATTTGACGTACATAAATTTTTTATAAGTAAATAAAAATAAAAATAAAAAAGCATTTAGAGAGTTGCTAAAAGTATTGGCCAATGGTAGAAAGTGAACAGTTGGGGTGGTCGGAGTGTTACCAAAGATCATGGGGTGGCTGGAAGTTGTCAGAAGGTGGTGGGAAGTTATGGCCGGTGACCGTCTAATTGTTGAAACCTCACCAGATGGTCTCATAATCTCTTAAACACTACTCAATTTCGATAAAATTATTCAAAAAAAAAGTATCAATTTTAACAAATAATCTTTAACAACATATCAATTTCTACAAATAATCAATAATTTAAGCTAAATTTTCAGTGAATATAATAAATAGTTATAAGACAAACTAGTCAAAAATTTAATAATGTCAATTCAATTCTATCGTATTCTTTCAAGTTTTGAAAACAAAAAATTCACAATATTGGACAATAAAATTGTCAACAAGAGAAAAAAAAAATGGTTTAATCTTTATCCAGCAACTTAAAACGTGGTCAGTTGGTCAGCATGTATTACTACTGGCTTCAGTATAACTACTGGCTTCAGTACTATTAGAAATAGGCGCCCATGTGGCATGATCATTTCAATGCTTTGAATTTATAACTGTAACTCCTACATTAATGGGGTTTGTAACTCCTACATTAATGGGGTTTGTAACTCCTGCCTTTATTCCAGAGGTTAATGGTACATTAATGACTAACCATAAAGGCTGGAGGCTTTTCCTCTCTCCCCTATACATGTATAAATTGAGACCCTCCTGTCAAGTCTAAAACACACAGAAATTTCCCATATTCTGACTCTCTCCCAAAAACAATGATCAAAACCGTTTGCACTGTGATTTGTGTGGGTGACATTCACTGTTGTAATATCTTTTCTATTCAGACTCTAAAGAAAGGTATGACCATTTTCCGCTGCGTTATACTGCTGATTACAAGTACAATAAACAAAACTACAAAATAATCAACAAAGCTACTATTTAGGTTGCACCAAAGTAATTCAACAATAGAAAATAACCAGATCAACCACTGTATATTGTACTTCATATCTTTTTATTAGTACTAACAAAATTAATAAGGCATTGTTTTTCTAACTCAAAAGTTAAATCTATATAAATCTAACTTTAATAATGTAATAATCAATAAGAATATATAAGGCATCTCTCTATCTTTCTCAAGGATTTTCTAATTAGCTAATCACCTCTTTTACATATTACTACATTTAGTAAGTGAATATAGAAAATTGACTTATATATCATTTTTCAATCAAATAACTAGAAAATTTTACTAATTTTAAGAAAATTATATATATATATATATATATATATATATATATTTTAATGGGTATCTTCTTCTTCATCAATCAATCACCACAGTTAATTATATTTGATTACAACCCACTAAAATTGGAAGTAGCCAGTAAGGGTGGAGAATTTTTGCATAAAAAAATATAAGTATCGATTGTCCCAAAGTGGAGGGGTGCCATGCAACCCCCGCGCCTTAAATGTGGTTCCATATATATTTGCTTTTGAATCTTGTTGATTCATGGAATAGTCCATCTCAACAAAAGTGATCCCATAACAAATAAAATTTAAGGAGACAAAGAATGGTGCGTAAAAGAAGACAAGAGGAAATTTCATATCATATATATTAAGGCCCCGTTTGGGGACTTATCTTTTTAGTCAAAAAGCTAAAAAGTTATCTTTTTAGGCAAAAAGTCAACAACTCATACCAAAAAGTCAAAGATTCTCTTTTCTCTCTAATTTTTGCACATCTTTTCCTAATTAGCCAAAAAGTCATCCCAAACATATAAGTTTTTTTTACCTACTTTTTCAGCCAAATAGTCAAAAAGTTACTAAATTAACCTGTTCCCAAACGAGGCCTAATTATTCACTTTTTCTTTTATAATTATTTATTCAATTATAATTAAAAAAAAAACACAAATCATCTAAAATACAAATTTTTTTTTTTAATCTCATAAGTTGTTTTGGGAAGTTGGTTAAAAACTAATTTTTTTAGTTTTTTTTTTTTTTTTTTTTTTTTTTTTTTTTTTTTTAAATGTGTAAAAAAGTAGAGAGAAGATGTGACTTAAAATAGGTTAAAAGCCAAAAATTGACTTTTAGCCAAGTTTCCAAATTAAGCCAAAATAGCTATAAAAAAAAAATCAACTAAAATGGTCAAGTTCTCAAACGAGACCTAAGTGTGATTGTATTAATTGTCTCATTACACTCCATGTGTATTAATTGTCTCATTAGACTCCATGTTTTTCGATTTTATTATTATAATCTTACCTTTATCTAAAATTATCAAAGAGTGGTGCTTTTATCACATTCCTTTTTCTTCTTTGGACGCCTCATTTCTTTAAAAAATTTTTTTTTAATTTCAATGTTGTCCAAATATGAAGTTACATTTTTACTCTCACCCCCTATCATTCTAACCCTAATTTCTCAAACCCAAACCCTAACCCTAATTTCCCAATCCGATAGCCCACTCACTAGAGCCTTCACTGCCGGCAGTTCTACTATTGTCGCTGCCTTCCTCTTTCTTCTTCCATTTCACCTCACTGCATTCTCTTCTTTTCTGCTTCTTCTTCTTCTCTTCGCGACCTAGATCGTCGTTGCATTTCTAAAAACCCTAGGGCTAGGGTTAGGGTTTTGAGAGAAGGTGAGGAAGAAGAAGAAGATGGTTAGGGACC